ACTCGCTTGACGAGCTGCCTCTGTGTTCACCATTCGGATTACAGTATGTCCGGGCTTGTCCTTGGGGCCTCTGATTTACGGAAATCCCATGTGAGCCTACGTCGGAAAGGCACCCTAAACCCTGAAGCCCAAACCATGAAACCCATGGGTTTCAAGGCATCACTCCCTCAGGGCCAACTAAAATCCCACACGATCAAACGATGATCTCAACATCCAGCATTCATATAGGGGATAATTATAGTATATTAGGGCTTTATTGGGCAATATACGGGCCTAAATGGGTTTAGGGTTAGGGTTATATTGGGATAATGGAAAGGAAAATAGAAGCCACTATACTAGTGTAGGGTGTATATCGGGGGCCCCAAGTTCAATTTCAATCTCTTGCCCCTAATACAAAACAATGCTACCCCCTTCTTGTTATTCAACCCTCACTATCGTATTGGTGCTACTTGGAGGATCGGCAAACATACTAAGTAGGTTAATAACCCATAACCCTATAGCAACCCCGATTATCCGTATTATTGACCTAGTTACTAAGTCCCCCTGACCCTAAGCCCTAAACCCTAAGTAGTTTTCACTGTATTTTCCATTATCCCTATATAACCCCTTATACTCCCCATTATAGTATAATAGTTTCCATTTTATTTAGTAGTACAGGCAGGGTGCATCCGCAACTTCACCTCAAAGTCCTCAGTAGCCAGCTTCTCCTTAGAAATTGAATTCTTAGCATATAGTCCCCCTAAGTAGATACAACATTAGGGTTATATTGGGGTTATATTGGGAAAATGGAAAAGAAAATGGAAAGTACTATTTAGGGTTTAGGGTTATAGTCCCCCTTAAGTAGATCGAATATTGGGGTTGTATTGGGGTTACATAGGGACAATGGAAAAGAAAATGGAAACTACGATTTAGGATTTAGGGTTTAGGGTTATAGTCCCCCTTAAGTAGATAGAATCTGGCTTTGGGTATGTTAAGACCCCTATATACCCCATATTCCATCTACTGAAGGGGACTATCTGTCAGATATCCATCATAATGCGGTCTGGACTATCTGGTCTGCATCGTGTGATCTCGTGCGATTCCGTGCGCTCTCTTGCATGCAAAGCTCCAGACCGGATTTATGAGAATATATGGCCTGTCATACTATAGTAGTTTCCATCTTCTTTCCCTTTATCCCCTATATAATCCCTATATACTATGGTAATTTCCGTTTTCTTTTCCAGTATCCCTCTAAGAACCCTATTATACTTATTTAACTGAGCTTCCCTGATTGCAGCATTCAGGCCGCTGCCGTGGCAAAGGTATGAATCACCTGACCCTGGGATCTATGGGGGTTTCCCCCAGTTGGGGGTACGTTTTTGAGGTTCCCATAATAAGGATTTTGGGGTTTATATTGGGTCCCCCTATTTAAGGAAACTGCCCTATCTACGCAGGCCGCAAAGTCTCACTGACTACAGGCAAACACCACACTGTCACGAATCCTTCCCACATACTCTCAGTATACTACAATACACCACAACGTGGAATATCGAACTTATTGGTTTTGTGCTTCTCAGGTCAAAAAGTGCCTGTCAATGAAGGCCTGATCAAACCTGGTGAAGACAGGCAGTCTAGGATGCCAGTAAGCCTCACCCGAGCCCCGGCTTTTGTATGACCTGTAAAATCTTTTACTGGTAGGTCGATAAGTCTGGACAAACATCACCGTGCTTTGACGTTTGACTGTCTCACCACAGAAGAACCATGAAGTAGCCGCAGACACATAAAGCATTGAGAGGTCTCGCTCCGCATAACAAGGAAGTACTATTTTGCATGTACCAGAATAAACAAGGAAAAAACCTTCTTTGAAGAGTACCCAGCGCAGGATCCTCTTGCAATCGGAGGCGCACTAGTCACGGGATCCATGCCCCCGACCAAGTCTTTCACCTGTTTGCATGCCCAGCAAGTATTCTGATCATAGCAGTTCTGAAACACAGCGGCCGTGGTCTCTCTTCTCTCTTACAGTTTTCATATCTGACAGCTGATGATGGTCATGCTTTAGCGCTAATGTGATCTCAGAAAATGAAAACATCCACTGGACGTTTTCTACCCCTACATAGCCTTACAAAACTTTATCAAAAACCTATAACCCCAAAACCCTAAACCCCTGAGCCCCTGGGTAGACTTTGCCTCAGCCAGACTGAATTCGATCTTCTCATCCTCTTCCAGGCGCTTGCGGAGCAGATCTGCTGAAATGCTGGGCTCCCCTTCAGTAAGCTCCGTGGCACCTCGAGGTTTAGGATTTAGGGTTTGGGGTTTAGGGTTTGGGGTTTAGGGTGTAGGGTTTAGGGGTTTAGGGGTTTGGGGTTTAGGGTGTACAGTAGGGTTTAGGGGTTTGGGGTTTAGGGTTTAGGGTATGATTGGGTAATATAGGGGTAGTGGAACAGAAAATGGAAACTACTACATTAGAATAGGGCATGTATTGGGTTTAGTGGGGAAGAAGGGAATATAGTATGTAGGGGATATGCAGGGATTATATTCCTGTATTCCCTACTAACCACCAGTAAGTCTAGGAGTCAGGACTTCAGGTCGTCTTCAGGTAAATGGATTGGGCACTGCCCCACTCAGCAACAGGTAACAGGGCGAATGCTATGCGCTATAAAACTGTGATATATCTACTATCTGTCTAACTGTTACTTCCTCCTAGTACATAAATACATCCTTGGTTGAAAGCCAGGGGCCGACCTGTCTCAAATATGCGCACTTTGAAAATCACAAGTTCCGGCTAGAACCTCAATCTCTCAGCATGAGGAGAGGCAGGCAAACGACAGGAGGTGCACGCTCGGGCTAACACGCTACCAAAGCTGATGCTGACTTCCCTTGTAGCTGCGAAAGCCTGACCGCGTAAGAGTCGGATTGGGGGGGGTCTAAATAATTGAGCATCACAGCCTGTCCAAGCCCGGACCTCATTTTTTTGCCTGGAGGCGTGGTTAGCTTTACAGCAGGTTCCTGCAGGTTCCTGTGGTACAGGCTCTATGTCTAATTCGAGACTTAAGAACAGTAACTAGATTTGTCGGTAATGTAGACCACTGATTAATGACCCCCCCCCCCCCCCCCCCATAGGGATTATAATAGGGATCCTAATATTCAGGCCCTTAGCTTGGCTTCTAAGGCATCCCATGCGGATGTCTCAGGATAGAGCTACCCGTTACAGCCCCCCCTCACCCCTCGGAAAGATGCAGAACATGAGGAAAATCGCTTTAAAACACGTGTTACAATGAGGGGTTTGGGTGTTTTGGGTTTAGGGTTGGCCTAAGTGATTGTTCAATATTAGGTTTATCAGGGGACCATTAAGGGTGAACATAGAGATCCCTCGCGCTTGTAGTTAAGTATAATCCTTAATAATATTATTCTCCCCAATGAGGAACGCATGCCCATTAATTCATTAGGAAATATTGCCTGTAGCTTAATATGAGAATCGGGGTCTCGAGGGAGCCGAATTGATTACCAGCGGTGGAGAATCAAATACAAAAGGAAATCTAAAACAAGATGGAAGCTTCGATATATGGGCCCTTGGAGGGTTGATGCTACTATAGTATGTTGGCATGGAGAATGTCGGGGCCCCAACCCTAAACCCCCCAAAACCCCCAAACTCTACTCGAACCTGCCCTTCATCCATCTTCGACCCAAAACCTTAAACTTGAAATCCCAAGTCCTTCTCAGGGATGAGGAATTCAGGATGTGGAGTAACCCTGAATCTGGATCTCAATGGTAGGGATCCTTGATAGTTTTTGGGTTATGGGATTCCTTATATGTATGTAAAAAGGATCCTAAACCCTA